CCACAACTAGACTGAAGAACAAAAGGACAGCAACTTGTCTGTTCCCCTTCCCCAATTCCCCAATGCTGTTCCCCTCCCCCAATTCCCCAATAAAACCTTTAAAGAAAAAAAATTTTAAATTTTCTTTCTAGAAATAATGTTACCTTATAAAATAGTATGTATTATAGATTATTTGGTCTACATTTATCTTTAAGGCTAAATTTATTTTTTTTAGTTCATACTTCTCTGTTTTTATACAAATACGTTAATATTCCTTTTCTAATAAGCAAATGGTATTTTCAAATGAAGGTTTTATTTTTTTTCTACAACATTATCATAGTAAAAATATTTTCCAAAATAAAAGAAAGCTATTATATTTATTAAGTTTATTTGATATTATACATTATTTTATGTATGTAATATACTGTGTTCATTCTGAACTCCCATTTTCTTGATTTTGAATAAGAGTAGAAAGATTATTTTAATGCAGCATTAGCAGGTTTGCTTTCAAAAATACTATGTAACATCTACTTGGTTTTAAAAGTTAATATGAATTAGCTAGAACATGTCCTTTTGAGTTTCCTTGGGGAACTTAGAGATTAAAGACCCACTGGAGTATTGTAAATTGGTAGGGGGAGTAAATACTATTAAGAAAAGTATTTGTGTATAGAACACAGACTCATCGAATTATCAATTTAATGTTAAATACTACCTAGGTTATTACAGCAAATAAAGTGTTCATAACCCTTGCCTTCATGGAACTTACACTCTAGTGATTATGTCATTGATTTATGGGAGAAAATAGTCCTACAAATAATATATCCAATAAGGGTTTAATATCCGAAATATATAAAGAACTCATACAACTCAACATAAAAAAACAAGCAAACCAGTTAAAAAGGGGGCAGAGGACCTGAATAAATATTTCTCCAGAGAAGACATGCAGATGGCCAACAGACACATGAAAAAGATGCTGCACATCACTAATCATCAAGGAAATGCAAATCAAAACCACAATGAGATGTCACCTCACACCTGTCAGATTAGCTATTATCGAAAGGCAATAACAAGTACTGGCAAGGATGTGGAGAAAAGGGAACCCTTCTGCACTGTTGGTGGGAATGTAAATTGGTGCAGCCACTGTGGAAACAGTATGGAGATTCCTCAGAAAACTAAAAATAGAAATAATATATAACCCTGCAACTCCACTCCTGGGTATCTATCCAAAGAAAATGAAAACAGTAATTTGAAAAGATATATGCACCCTATGTTTATTGTAGCATTATTCACAATAGCCAAGATATGGAAGAGCTTAAGTGTCCATCAATAGATAAATGGATAAAGAAGATGTAACACACACACACACACACACACACACACACGGTATATTACTCAGCCATAAAAAAGAGTGAGAGCTTGCCATTTGTGACAAAATGAATGGACCTAGAGGGTATTATGCTAAGTGAAATAAGTCAGACTGAGAAAAACATCATATGACCTCATTTATATGTGGAATCTAAAAAACAAAATGTACAAACAAAATAAAACAAAGACTCATAGAGAACAAACGGATGATTGCCACAGAGAAGGGGAATGTAGATGGACAAAAAAGGTGAGGGGGAATAAGAGATACAAAAATTTCCAGTTATAAAATAAGTCATGGGGATATAATATACAGGTAGGGTAGATAGTTAATAGTATTGTAATAACTTTGTACGGTGACAGATGGTTAACTAGATTTATTGCAGTGATCACTTCATAAGGTATATAAATGTTAAATAATTATGTTGTACACCTGAAACTCATAATATGGTATGTCAACTTTAATTTTTAAAAATTGAGGATGTTATTCACTGTATTGAAAAGTTCTAATGATAGTGTGCTAACTTGTGTTTGGTTTCAAGTGTCGATTTTTAATGATAAGTTGTAAAACAAGAAAATAGGCATTTAAATATCTTTAGGAGTATTCTTATTGGAGAATGGAAAATTAGTTTTTTATAAGTTTAACAGAACAGGAAAAAAAATCCTCTTTTTAAATGAGGTGACATATCTTTTTAATTCTAATACATACATTCTCTTCTTTGAACTCACTTTAAACATTAATTTTCAAGAGAGCCGAGTATGTTTATTACACATACACGTGCGCACGCGCACACGTGCCCCCCCCCACACACAGTAGAAAACTATGAATTCCACTAAATCATCTCCAGATTTCATAACAGAAAGATAATTAATATTGTTGATTAATTGGTGCCATTGGCAATAAGATAACATTTATATGTTGTTAAAGTCGTATATTAAATATATGACTTTGAAAAATAATTCTAGGGTCTGAGAATGAAACAGAATGCACTCAAATTGTGCAGGCATGATGATAATGAAAGCATAAAGAGAAAAAGAAGAAATATCACAGGAAAATGCATGAAGATGTGTGAGATAGCCAAGCCAGTCTAAGATTAGTATCCTTGGAGAGAGGGAAAAGATATATTAGACATTACCAAATATGATATCGAAATATGTCTAAATGCGAAAAATTTCAATTGGGCCTGGTGGTAATTTATGAATAAAAATAAAAGGCCATGAAAAGTGATATTTCTCTAACTTTGAGAATAGGAAACTACATTTCATTAGGTTTCTAATTTCACTTTCTCAATCACTTCTGTTACCTCTAAAATTTAGGTGGGCTGTTATTTAATTGGGAGACCCATGCCTCTTATTCCTTTTTTCCATTCTTGATCAGTTTATCTCTCAGGCTTTTGGATTATATTGGAATTTTACTTTATAGGTCTACATATGCCTTTAATAAATGTAATCCCATATGTTGTGCAATGTGTTTTCTGTACTGACTGTATTTTGCAGCAAAGTTTTACTTGATTTTAGACTAAAATGACATCCTCAACAAGGAGCTCTATGTAATTGATAACAGCCAGAGCTCTCATATAATGTAAAGGCTGTTGACAGAACATTCCTTGGAGAGCATCTCAGAACCGCTTCTGGTTTAACAAAGCCTAGGTTTGTTGCTGTTCATTGCTTTGACAAAGTAAATCTTCACTGTGGCCTCTTTCTTCTTTGCATACACACAATACTGTTTAAATCCCAAGGTGTTTATATTGGGTTGTCAGAAAAGCCATGATGCATTTTTTTCACTGTTTTTTGTTGCAAAAATGCGTCATGACTTTTCCAACAACCCAATATTTGTAAAATGAAGAATTCCTCTAGTTCAAGTCATCAGATTGTTTTTGTTGATAAATTGTATAGGCAAGTAAAGTATAGAAATCATTTGTTGTATTTAAATATTATAGCAGTTTTAGTTGTAAATAACTTATATGAGTAAGAAACAAATATTTTGACAAAATGGTAGCACTGAATGTATTATGCTTAACTTTTTAATAAAGATTATGCGCATCATACAGTACTNCCCACTATTTCTACTGCAGCATGTGTAAATATTTAAACATAATTTAAGGGTTTAATGAATGTGACAATTTCAAAAACACAGACTTTTAATTAAATACATATTCCTTTAGTTCCTGTATAACTGGGAACTTACCTTCTTTTCAGTAGACTATTAAAAGAAGGGCTTGCAGCTCAACATAAAATGTATTAGTCACTTAATATTGTACATTGAAAAATTATTTTAAAAAGATACTTGGGCTTGGGGACAATTATGATAAAATTTAACCAGAAGATGGCAGTGATGATCCTCCTATACTTCCTACAATGGTAATCAAGTTTTACAAATGTAATAGCATGAAATATGCACGTTCAACTGTTGGTATATAATGTTAAAAGTAACAAAATAAGGGAAAGCATATGCTGTTTGTTTTATATACTATGAAAAATGTGTATTTTTCTATAAGAAGGGATTAAGAATATTTTGGGTGTCTGTATCTTTGTCTGTACACTTCAGTTTTTTCTGAATACTGGGGTAAGGAAGTTACCATAAGTCTTGCCTTGTTTAAGTTGCATGCATCACTTTATGTTATGCATCATGTCCAGAAGGCATGCTGTTTTATGGCCTGTTTGCGTTTTTCACCCAAATTGCTGGATACTAATGGAAATTTTAAAGGAGTCATTCCTTTAGCTACAGCCATTTCTCTAAATTGGCCCTTTTTTTGGTGGGGGGAAATTAAATCATTTAAGATGTTTATTTTTGAAAGAAAAAAATTGTTAGATAAAAATTAACATTTAAAACTAAATCTCAGAAAACCAGAGAGTCAAATGACTTGCATATTTCAGAGTTTTGATTTTGACAGCAATGATAAATAATATTTATAATCTGGTGATCTTAAAAGTGAGAAGTTAGACAGGGTAGAAGGAATGCTCTCCTTTGAAAATTAGTGCCCACATTTGGTGTTGGCTGAAATGAAGATGCATCCTATAATCTTGCTTTTTTTTTTTAATACAAAGACCAAATGCATTTTGCCTGAGAAATTGCATGTATTGTCAGCATGCATTGTTAACTTTGTCTTTCTCCTCTTCTTTCTACTGTTCATTTTCATTCATGTATTTTTGTTTTTTGGTTTGCCATTATTTTTTCTTTTTTGTTAATTACTTCATATTAAATTACTTTTGAAACGTCATAAGCTGAGCAACCTCTCCGTATAGTAACAGCGGATACCTGTCTGTTTCACTATTTAGTCCCTCCTCCTATGTCTCCGTCCTCCAAATCTGTGAGCACACCAAGTGAAGCTGGAAGCCAAGACTCTGGAGATGGCGCAGTGGGATCTAGGTATAGTAATTTTCTTTTAATATTTTAATAATAGAATGCATTTAGTGCCCATATACTGTTAGTGCTTTAGAGGGACTCTAAATAGTTATGTTGTGTTAGTTAATATTTTGAAATCTAAATGGCATAGAAATTATTTGTTATAAATTGAGGGAAATTTTTTTTACAATATTTTAACTGTCACACTTCATTAATTTAGTACTGAACAGTTAACTGACTTTATGCTAATTATTTTACATTAAAATGGAGGTGTTAATTCATTTAAATGTTTTCTATTTAAGCAAACTTTATATTGGTTATGTCACTCTTTTGGGTATAAACTGTGTAAAAGCTCTCTGTTGTGCTTAATTCCCCATTCAGTAATTGAAAATCTAAACAATCTAGTTAAACAGCCCAATTCTGTTTTATTAATTCAGTAGTTCTAATTAAGATAGAAAATAATAATGCATACAATATCAAGAATAAGAAATAACTGCTAAGGAAACATTAAGTGTTTTCATTGCCTTGAGAGCATTATCCTAAGTGAAATAAGAGAAAGACAAATACTGTATGATCTCACTTATATGTAGAATCTTAAAAAATGAATAAGCTCATAGATAGAACAGGTTGGTGGTTGCCAGAGGTTGGGGACAGGGTGGGCAGAATGGGTGAAGGGGGGTCAAAAGGTACACGCTTCCAGTTACAAAATAAATAAGGTGTGGGGATGTAATGTACAGCATGGTGATATAGTTAACAGGACAGTATTGCATATTTAAAAATTGCTGAGAGAGTATATCTTAAAAGTTCTCATCACAAGAAAAAATAAAATTTGTAACTGTGTACGGTGATGATATTAACTAGACATATTGTGGTGACCATTTCACAGTATATACAATATGGAATCATTATATTGTACACCCGAAACTAATAGACTGTTAGGTGTCAATTATACCTCAATTAAAAATGAAGAGTGTTTACTGCCAAGTTTTCCTGAATTCACATCTTCCTTATGAAACAATTTCATGTTTATTTTAGGATCCTACACACAATTTGGGTCTTGCTTTTCAAAAGTTCAGTAAGATTTCAGCTTCTTTCCAAGGATAGTATTGGGAAAAGCATTGTTACTTACTCCTCTTCTTCCCTCTCTCCCTCTCCCACCACACAAAACAATAGCACGTCTTTAACAGCATCATACTTTGTGACAATTGAAATTAAATATAGCTAGTTAAAATCTTTATTCAGAATCCTTATTTTAGGCTAGGAAGGTGCATGTCCTTCTTACTTAACACACCTTTTAATAAGAAATAAATTGAGAAGTGTTATCTTCTTTGTGCCTGAGCCTCTCTGGTTGAAGTTACAAACAAATAATGAGTATCTAAAAACAGAGCAAGAAAAAAGA